CGTCGTCGTGACTAACGTCGAGGTTGGCGTCTGAGTTGCTGTTTCGGACGTTGTTGTGATTGTTTCAGTTTTCCATTCACTTGATACATGTTCTGAGGAAGGTGAAACACTGGGATCCGATATCTCCTCAGTCGTCGCCACAGTCGTGGTTTCAGCCTCCAGTGGAGGTTCAGATGTTTCGTTGCTGTCGATGTTCACCACCGTTGTCGTAGACTCTTTTGAAGGTTCAAATAACTCAGTAGTGGTTTCTAACTCCTTAGACTCTGCCGTAGCAGTGGATGTCTCTTTTCCTATATCCGGCTCACTGGTAGTGGTAGGAGCGTCGGTCGTTTCTACAGCGGGTGTAGTCTCCGGTGGTGGCTCGCCTGTAGCTCTTCGAGAGTCAATCTTCTCTTCCGTACTTGTTGCCTTTGGAGGTAGAAGTGGTTCTGTAGCGGTCGCAGTTATCCCAACCATTGTCACGCTTGTCGTGCTCAATGATGTGGACGTTTTTGTCGTTTCTTCTACTGGTCCTATACCATCGTTAGCAATGATATTACGAAGTAGAGCTTCTACTTCTGCAATGACGTGGGGTTGACCAAGTACAAGATCGGGCTGATCCGTTCGTGTGATTGAATTATCCACCAAGGCTATTGGTAAAGAGGAAGATGGAGGATTTATCTGGAATGGGCACTAAAAACCAAATCATTGAATGGAATTCCCAGTTGAAGTTAATTAGTCGCTTTCTCCACTTTCTCAGCCACAATATATTTATTATGCACAGGTGATGTGACTCACATTGAGAGCGCAGTCACACCATGTTCACATGAAATCTGTACACCTTAATCCCATTCAGATAAGCGCATTTCATTGTGAGCGAACATTTATTTTCAATTACAAATTTCGGCTAAATTTGTCCATTTTATGCTTAGTCTTGCAAGTTACAAGTTTCGGGCGGTGGAACATGCGCCTTGCATGCCAAATTTCATGGAGGTTATTATTTCGATTGGTGCTCTTTGGACTTTCAACTATTAAAAACATTAAAAATATGATGAGGGTAATCTAATGAATAGTCCCGAAAATCACTTGACAGATTCTTTAAAAACATTAAAAATTAAATGATGGCTCAATATATGGAACAGAAAAAGTACCGTTGTTGGCAATTCGTGATAGAAAGCTTGTTTCCCAGCGTTGCTCCAAGTATCCGAAACGAAAGGTTGGCGGATTGCCTGGTTAAGAAACAATTTTGATTATTCCTATTAGTCCAGAGGGCAAATGGTACCTTGATGGATCCAAATCCACGTTTGCCATATTCTATGCGAGGTTCACGACCATATTGTGGAGGGACGAGTGGAACATTAGACGGCTTTTTCACAACAGTTTGCTTGGGTGCCTAAGAGGTTTGTTAACTCAACAATAATATCCCAGATGTCTTTCCATGCAGCACTGATTTCAAATATTCGTCAGAGTCGA